CACACACACACACACACAACATGATGACCATCAACCACATGCAGCCTGCCTTATCCCAAATTCTGCTTTTTCAGATTTCAGGACGCTGTGGTAGACAAGTTTTGAAAGAGGTTTGCGTTCTGTCTTAGGAATGTTCCTGGCTTTGCGTCAGCTGCAGTGCTTCTGAATGATAGTGAACCTCTGGATCAGCGAGGCGTCCAGCTGCTCTCCTGGCCCCGCTGTGGGCTTGTCGGTGGCCTGGTCTGAGGCCTGTGGCTCTCCCCGATAGAGAGGCGTCTCCGTCTACCAGCCTGGCGGTCCCGTTGGCAGAGTTCAGGCCAGCTTTAGAGTGCTGATGGGAAAGGAGGGCATGGTCACCATTGTCACGGGGTTGAGCACCGTCTGACCCACCAGCTGCGGGTGGTGGGCCACCATTTGGGTGCTCACCGCCGTCTGCTTGCCAACGATGGCTGCAGTCGGTTGGCTAGGCACAGTGCCGTTCATCTGCGTGTGGGCGTGGTTTATGGTGTGGGTGATGTGACCGACGACAGCTGGTTGCGTGACGGCCACCGGTTGGGGGTAGAGGGCGGGTAGATGCTGGCTCAGGTGAGCCACCGGGTGCACGGTGATGTGGCCGATAGGTTGGTGGCCGGGGGCTAACTGGACAGAGCTGGTGGTGGAGGAGGGAGCCAGGTGGGCGATGTGTTTGGGACCGCCTCCCTGGATGACGTGGTTGACTGCTTGGATGACTGAGGGGTGGGACACCGACGCGTGGGCAATGACCGTGGGGTGTAGGCTGGGCACGGTCACCATCTGTGTCTGGGTGGGGATGAGGGGCTGACTGGGGGTGGTGGGAGTGCTGGATGTTGTGGCTGTGAGTGTAAGTGGGGCTGCGGGCTTGGACAGTGGCTGTGGAAGAGTCACTGGCAGCGGCTGGAGGTGAGGCTGGAGCTGAGGGGGGGCTTTGTGCTGGATGGAGATGTGCTGGGTGATAAAGGAGGTAGTGGTGGTGGCGGGTGTCAGGGTTGGGGTCAGAGTGGGTGTGGCAGCCTTGTGAAGCTCAGGTTTCATGGTTTGAGGCACGGTGGGTAAGGCAGTCTGTGCTCTCGACGCAGGCTCATCTTCTAGGTCATCGTCCATACCGTCTTCACCTTCTGCAACGCCAACAGAGGAGAGAATAAACGCAGCGCTATTAGAGCCAGTGTGAGAAATGTGTCAAACTCTATTCTCAGTACTGATACGGCTCTGTGGGCCTCCAGTAGTCCCACCCTGACTGTCAGCCTACCTGAGGCAGTGGAGGTCGAGGCCTGGTCCTCCTCCGGCTGCACCGTCTGACGAAGGACGCGGTCGATCTCGATCACATCCATCCACTGGCTCAGCTCGTTCTTCAGCTCTGCTAATCGCTGCTGCGTGGCTATCTTCTCTCTGGCCAGTCGCTCCATGTCGTGCTCGTACTCTTTCTCTTTGCGCTTCAGCGTCTGAAAGGAGAAAGCAGAAGACGGTTTGAGCGCGTTGAACTGAGTGACTCTGCGAGCTGCCACCAGTAAATTACCAGTGTATCAGGTTCACGTGTACGGTGTAATGCAATAATCCAATATAACCACCACACAATTCATTCTGTCTTTTGGAGGTTTTGTGTTGACACTGTGTCAGAGAGACACGTGTTTATGTCTGTGGTTTTGTATTAGACTGATTTATTGATTTATGTTCACCTCAAAAGAGGTTTGTCAATTAAAGACTTGAGAAGAAGAAAGCAAACGAGGTTGTTCAGAGTCTGTGCAGCTCGTTACTGCTTTATGTACAATATGATCAAAACAAGGTCTCCATCTACCTTCATCTGACACTTCATCAGTATCCGTATTCTGCCAAATGAATGCAAAAGTCATGGAACCAAAAAATATGAAACCTAAAATATATTTTCTTTTCTGAACAGATTGACGGAGCAGATACGCACGCTGTTTAACACTTGTCACCGCTGTCTCCATGTGAACAGATTCATGATCCAGACATTATATTGTACTGACACTATATTCAATATATCCATTACACTGAACTAATTAATCTCAGATAATTCATGTGTCTAACCTTTGAAGAAAACAAAGCACATCACTCAGATACACCTAGAAAGCCTTATTAATGTCCATGCTGTCTTTACAGCTGATTAATAAGGAACAGGTCCAACTAATAATGAATCAACACTGTGACCAGAGCCTGTGTGCAGGGAGCAGACTAACTGAGC